CAGCGTTACTGCATGGCACCAAGGATGCCACAGGGGAACCAGCCTTTCCCTGCCAGAGCCAGCGCAGGGGCTGCTGCACAGCAGCTCAGCTGCCCTCAGCAGTCCCTGCTTCAGCTGCCTTCTGCTTCAAGCCACGTTGGGCCTTGCTTATCAAAGCCAAATGCTCCAGGTTTTGGTGCCTAATGCAAACCAGCTTGCAGCTTATGCTCTTTCCCTCAGAAATCTGCTTTAAAACCAACTTGCCCGACTTTGTGTTTTATAAGATACACTTAAGAAAAAAAAGAGTTTAGGAGAAAGGAAATATTTTCCATACACAACAGACATTTGACTGGATTAAAGCAAGCTGCCCTTTAATGTGCTTGCCTGAGCCACCCTGGAGAGGTGAGCACCTATGCTAATTCCCTGGGGACATGTTCCCTGTGTCCAGGCTGGTCCCTGCTGTGCAGCCAGAGCTCAGGCTGCAGGCACACATCATGCAGGCACAGCAGGGCTCCCCTGCAGCCTTTGGCTGGAGCCTGGTGGGACACAGGCAGGGATGGACGGGAGGATGACAGAGCCAGGGCACTCAGTGATGGTCCAGGCACCCTGGCTTGGGGTCCCTGCCGAGGGATGAGAAAGGTGTGGGGCAGGGGACCCAGCTCCCACCTTGCTACTGATGCTTGAGGTCACTCCCTGGCCTAACAGCAGAGCCATAAATCCTGAGACGCAGAGGAAAACATGCTAAGGCTGCTTGGAAGTCCCCTGCTACAGGCAGGAATAAAAAAATGGACAGTATATAATCTGAAAATCTAGTAAAATAAGAAAATTCCCACATTGCAGAAGTGCAGGTTTCTCTTTTGCCAGGATAAAGCTATTTTCACATTTAAAACTCCATTTCCTCATGAAGGAACACTTCAGCCTCAGGAAGGATTACTGCAGTGAGGCTACAGCCAGGTGAGCAGGATAGATCAATGCAAAACTGCTTCCCAGGATCCCTGGGAGTGCCCAAAGAGGGAACAGAGAATAGAAATCTTGAAGCTGGAAGAGAGGCAAGAGGAGAAGCTTTAGGGAAACATCACAGGTTAAGACAAGCAGGTGCTACAATGGTTTGCCCACCACCACTCCAAAATTTAATCTGTAGATTTAGAATATTAGCAAAAAGTGTTATTACAAAAAACTCTGATAGGTTTGAGTATTGGCAGGGACTTTGGACAAGGGCCTGGAGGGTCAGGACGAGGGGAATGGCTTTGCACTGACAGAGGGCAGGGCCAGATGGGACACTGGAAATCCTGCCCTGTGAGGGAGGGGGGCCCAGGGAAAGGCTGCCCAGGGGAACTGTGGCTGCCCCATCCCTGGCAGTGTTCCAGGCCAAGCTGGATGGGACTTGCAGCACCCTGGTCTAGAGGAAGGTGTCCTTGCTCCTGGCAGGGGTGGGACTGGATGGGAAGCACAGAGAATGCTGCAGAACACTCAGTATTCCTGAATGTTACGTTCAGGTTTTTGACCCAGTGCAGCTTTTACTCTGACAGAGTGACAGACTGAATGAAGCCATTCCAACTGCACATTATTAAAAGTGATATTTAGAATCTTCCACATTAGGTTTTTAAACCAGTTAAGAAATGAACCATCGCTGCACTCTTGGCTTCTGCATTTGCACTTGCTGAGAAATTATTTTCATTTATCTGCATAATGGCCAAGGCAAAGAAGCAATTTGCTACGAGATCACCCTGTGGGCCTTGCCAAAACCTGAGTCATCTTTTCACCGAGGAGCAGTGGGGCAGCTCTGGCAGCCCCCACACAGCCCCACAACTGGGCTGTGGTTTGGTGCTGTGTAAGGCTGGGTTTAAGCCACCTCTGGCACTGAGCTGCTGAGTCCTAGCAGGATCCGTGCCCCCTGCACTCCCCTGCCTCCCAAGCACCATTTTCTCTGTTACCATGTTTGTGCTGCAACTGTCTGTGGCAGATCTCAGGAAAGTGTCAAAAATCCAGTGACTCACCTGCAGCACTGAAATGTCACTCCTCTTTTTTGTTCTTTAAGCAGGTGGTAGGACACACAGACAGACAGACAGACAGCTGCCAGACCAATGGACATCACAAGGGACACAGGAAAAACAAGGAGACCTGCCACACCAATTTTCAGGGCTCTCTGGAGGAGGGTCCCTGCCCAGCCCCTGGCACAAAGGGCACCAAAGCAGCTTTGGAACCTCCCTCCTGCTGGCACTGGCATTTCCCCTGGGCTCTCAGCAGCAGAGCCCAGGGCAGGAACAGCTCATTGTTTGCTCTCCACAGGGCACAGCAATGTTAGGAATGTCACACACCCAGGTGCAAGGACAGGGGACCTACCTGGCCACTTCAGCCTGCAAGGGAGGCCAGGGAAGGTTTGTGGCAGGGACACAGGACTCAGTCCCCATCGGCCCACAGCAGCAGAGTGCTGCCAGTGCCAGTCTGTGCCCATCCAAGGGGGAGATGCAAGGGCAGCAGCTCCCACTGTGCTGTGACACAGCTGGCAGGGCTGATGTGCACCAGGGCCTTTGCTGCACACAGTGGGGAAAAGCCAGACATCCCCTTAAACAACTCCACCCTGGGGACCACTCCAGCATTACAGGATGGACACTGGCTCTGAGCAAACCCTCACAAGCCATCTCATGACCCAAGCCCAGAGAAAATCAGTGGCCCCACGTGTGAGGTATCACACAATTCCCTCACACCCAGCAGAGACTGAAGAGCTGGTCTGAAGAATGCTCCTGTCTGCTCATGGGGCCCAAGTGCCATGGGCTGTCTGCTCAGGAACGTGGCCAGCACTCACCTACTGTCCTTGGCATCTCCTTCAACCCTGGAGCAGCCTTCCCACATGTGTGATGGAGCAGCTCTGCACTGGAGATAGAAGCAGACAAGTGCTTTTCCTGGGAGTAGTGTCCTGCTTAGTCTGTTTGCCTTTTAAAATTATTTTTTAAGTGAACAGAAGGCTGCTTGTACCTCCCTGCAGCTCCTTGCTGTAATGCTACAGCCAAACACTTGGCAGCACTTTTGGGCAGGGATTTTGTACAATGCACAACTGTGTGAGCAGAAAACACAAAAACCACCTCATAGCCATCAGGTCAGCCCAGGCCTAGCTCGAGAAGATGCTAGAAAAAAATCTCACAAAGAACCCCTGAGGCCAGACAGCAGGAGCTAAGAAAGGCAAGGCTGTTCCTCCTGGAGCAGGAGCACTCCTAGCACAGGAGCACCTCTGCCAGCCTGGGTAAACACCCACTGCACAAAGGCTTCACACAAGGTGCAGGAACACATCTCCCGCTAGATACTGCTGTCCTTCTTGCACTTATTTTTGGAAAACAGGAAGCTCATTGATTTGTTTGCAGAGGTGACCAAAATGGGCCTTGGGAAGCTGCTGTCCTGGTTCAACATCTCCTGTTCTACACCACAGCCTTCCTGCTGTTCTGAGGGATGCAGATCTCACCCAGTGAGGGCTGGGCTGAGGCTCAGCAGAAGGGTTTTGTGCTGAGCCCCCCGTGACACTTAGCTGCTGAAACGGGAAGCTCTGCCCTCTCTTGCTGACATTCAAAGACCACAGTGTGAACCAGCACAAACCAGGAAAACACCAGCCTGTGTCATTTCCGACCTGCTCGCTCTAGCTCAGCCAGAGCTCATCCCTGCTTGCTGCAGCACATCCAGCTGACAGAACAGGATCAGAGCAGAGATCCTGCAGCTCTGAGGCAACCTCCCACAGCCAGGCAACGCTGTACTGAGCAGGGACACTCTGAACTGCCTTCTCCAGCACCAGAAGCAGTAGATCACCTCAAATTAATGTCTCTGGACTGAGGGAATCCAAGGAAAGGGCAGACTAACACAAGCCCAGAAAATGAACTGATACAGTTCCAAAATCGTGTCCATACTTCAGTTTGTGAACCGTTTGAATTTGGCAAAAAAAGCTGGTTGCTGGTTTAGAACTGTGCATCACCCCTTGGTTGAGGGTAAAGAGAGGACCCCTCTGTCAACATGTTCAAAGGGCCTTAAATCAGACTCACGGAGTGTGAACATACAACTTCATGCTCATGTGCATGTTCATGTTCAGTTCTGAACACAGATTCCCTCCCTGGCTGGAGCCAGCAGCTCAGCACGACCCCTCTGCAGGCAGCAGGGGCAGGCCCAGGCTGTGCTGCTCCTCCAGGAGACTTGGGAAAGCACAGGGGTAGGACCCAAGGGCATCCAAGTCCCCAGCACTGCTTGTTCATGTACCTGAAACCACCGATTCTCCTGCTCTGCAGTGAACAACACGAGGAAGCTTCAGCATGCAAGGAGAGCCACACCACTGAGTGTTGCACATCTTCCAAGGTTTAATAGACACAAAGTGAGTCCATTGTACTTAAGACACTACAATGATTTCATTCTATTGCATGTCCTGACCCAATTACATTTCTCAGAGTACAGTATTGAATAAAAGTTCGGTAGCTTTAAAATTAACAAGTGTGTGAAATCTGTAAGTAAAATAAGCAGCAGCAATAATCTGGGGAATTTTATCAAGAATAGCTAACTTTGAAGTAATAAATACATTCCGAGTTGTGGTTTTGGCTGTTCTCCTAGTTCATTGCCGTCCGACTGTCAAATTCTTGTTCCAGGTAAGATGTCCTAAGCCCTCCCCGCCTCACAGCAGAGCTCCCCGGCCACGTCCCGGTGCCCGTCACCTGTGCCGGTGGCAGGCCCAGGTCCTGGTGCCCATCACCTGTGCCGGTGGCAGGCCAGATCCCGGTGCCCGTCACCTGTGCCGGTGGCAGGCCAGGTCCCGGTGCCCATCACCTGTGCCGGTGGCAGGCCAGGTCCCGGTGCCCGTCACCTGTGCCGGTGGCAGGCCAGCGCTGTGCCAGGAGCCTCCTCCTCGCCCTGCACGCGGCCCCGCTGCTCCCGGGAGCGCGGCCGGCGCTGCAGACTCGGTGACCTCTAGGAGAACAGCTGTGCTCGTCTTCTGGTACCTTGAAGAAAGCCAGACAGGGAGAGGTTACTGTGACAGCAGCCAGGCACATGCTGGCTTCCCTCTAAATACAGCCAGGAATTCTCCTGCTCCCGGCTGGCCCAGCAGGCACTGCCAGCAGTGCCTGCAGCTCGGGAAGAAAGAAAGCTGTCAGGCTAACAAACCTAAAGTAACAGTGGGAATTCTCCCCAAGACCAACAAGATATGAGTTTCGGTGATGATAATAAATCACCAGTGTGGCTTAAAGACTCTGGAGTCCCTGTTCGGGTGGGTTACTGTAGGTTAATCCGCCACAAGTCCCTACGGAGCGCACCACGTGAAGAACATCTGCCTCCACTTTCTGAAGACAATCTACAAAATAGGATTATTCTCCCCTTGAGAGCAGCCCTACAGAAGCTTTTCTAAGTACCTGTAAGAGCTCAAGCTGCTGACTATGGCTGCAGTGCCTGGCCACAGTGCCCGGCCACAGTGCCTGACTGCAGTGCCTGGCTGCAGGAACACAGCTCCAGTAACACAGCTACAGTGCCCCAGCTGCAGTGCCTGGCTGCAGTGCCCGGCTGCAGGAATACAGCTCCAGTAACACAGCTGCAGTGCCCGGCTGCAGTGCCTGGCTGCAGGAATACAGCTCCAGTAACACAGCTGCAGTGCCCGGCTGCAGTGCCTGGCTGCAGTGCCCGGCTGCAGGAATACAGCTCCAGTAACACAGCTGCAGTGCCTGGCTGCAGTGCCTGGCTGCAGGAATACAGCTCCAGTAACACAGCTGCAGTGCCCGGCTGCAGTGCCTGGCTGCAGTGCCCGGCTGCAGAAACACAGCTGCAGTGCCCAGCTGCAGTAACCCAGCCGCAGTGCCTGGCTGCACTGCTGGCACCAGCCCCTGCAGCAGCCACCAGTGCCCTGAGCTCAGGGCTGATGACCTGGGAAAGGAGCAACTCCTGGAGAGCAATATGCCTGACAAAAACTAGGGGTGTCCTCACCGGCACCCTGCTTGCAGGAGGGACTTGCACTGGCCCTGGAGACCAGGTTACAGCATGGAAGCCCTGGAAGAGTTCAAGGGGAAAATCCTCTTCCTTCAAGTGAAGAACAGAACCAAGGGAGAGAACGGCATGGACACCTCCACTCCCCCTGAGCAGCTGCAGAAGCACCACTGCACCTCGCTCCCAGCACAATGCAGCTCCAGCAGCACAAGGATGTGACCAGCCCTAAGTCTGTGCCACACTAACCACATCACCTCCAGCTCAGCCGGAAGTGCAGGAGACACCAGCATGGATCTGTGCTCCTGGCACACAGCATTAGCACCACAGAAGAGCAGATCAGAAACCTTCAAACCACCCCCAGTTGAGGTCTGTGACATACAGAGCACAATGAACCAAGAACACCAAACACAGGAAGAGGATCACATCTCCAAAGCTGCTGACATGGCAGCAGCACTGCTTCTGCAGGCAGGGGACCCAAAGTGACACTGATTCGCTCAGATTCAGCATCCAGAACGATCCTCAGCATTGCCTACACAATGCAGAATGCAAAAAGCTGATTCAGTACCCAGGAACATCTGTCTCAAAAGCTGTATTCCAAAGAAAGGCTGCAATCAGGTTTCACACACTCTTTCAGCATTGGGCAGAAACTGGGAGGTCTCACCCCAGGGCTCCATTACCTGCAGCAACAGAGTATAAATTCATTCCTAATCTTGCAGAAGAATCTATTTGTCTTCTGATGAACAGAGAGACTTTCAAGAACACACAACAATCTCACTTGCTGGTTTATCACCTTACACCTAGGAAAGCCTTCCTGAGGCCCAGGGACCTGGAACAATATCCCTCAAGTGGCTTTGAAAGCACTGACCCTTTAGAGAAGATCTTGTCTAAACAGGAAAAAAATGCATTTCCTGGCTGAGGAGGTAACAGCAAGCCCTCGAGTGGTTGGATTCTTTGGGATTCCTCACTGTGGGGAAAAAAGAATCACACCAGAAGTACCATGCCAAACAGGTCCCAGGGAAGGGTCCTGCCATGGCCAGGGCAGATGGGGCTCCTCCATGGAGACAGGCACTGAGGCCAAACCTCAGCTGCTCCGGGAACTACCTGAGGCAAATATCAGGGATTCTGTAGGAGCAGAAAGCCAGGGCTGCCAGCAACAGAGCAGCTTTGGCACGCTGGAGGCTTGGCACGCGCTCGGTCCCTGTGCCCGGGTGGGCACCTGCACCTGCCCAGCTCTGCAGCCAGGCTCGAGGGGCAATGCCACCCAGGGGAGAGACCTGGCGTCTGTGCACAGCAGCTCTCACGTGTCCAAGAGGAGCTGCAGTGACAGTCTCTCCTACACTCTCACTTCATCCCTGGATGCTTCAGAAATTTCCATTTAAAAACCCACTTCAGCACGGGGCAGCTAACATGTGTAACTAACACAACGCCCGTGGGCTGACTCAGGACAGCCTGAGTGCTAAGCTGGGTGTCCAAAGGAGAGCCAAGGCACCTCCCCTGAAGCCATGTGCTTGCTCATAATTAAAAAAAATGAAGTTTTGGATCAAATAAAGCCATTCATAAATCCAGACTGAGCAGCAGCAGCAGAGTGCAGAAGACAATTTTATCTTTGGAGGCTGCAGTACCCCAAGTATACCAAATCCTCAGCTTATTCTGAGGATTATTTTCTATTCATAAAGCAATTAACAGCAGGCTGTAATTGAGCATCACTAAATCAGTGTTTTTCCAGCCATCCCTCCTTGGGGGAAATGCAGAGAATGCTGCTAGCAGCCAGCTGGTGAAGTCCTTCCTTCCCATGCCTTCCCCTTGCAGGAGGAAGGAAAGGGTGGCAGCTGGGATCCCCATCTCTGGCCCGCTGGATGAGGTTTTGGAACTGTCTCCAGCTCTCAAGGCACCAGAATCCAGCTGACTTGAGCAGGCTGGCAACTACATTCTCCAACACTGGAGCTCCCAAACTCCCTCATCCAAGAATTGCTATGACAAATCCTGCACTGAGGGTTTCTGCCTTTGGAAAGGACTGTTTTCCACATGAGTAAATGGCTCAGGTTATTGGCGTGCATCAAAACAGAGCAAGTCATCACTCACAAGGCAACTCAAACTAGTAATTTGCTACAATTCATTTCTTTAGCTGCAGAGAGCACACAGGAAATATACTTCATAAAGAAACTCAGGCTGGCTGATCCCGTTCAGCACGGACTGTTGCAGCTGAAACAGGAACTGCTACGTCAGTGAAGGCATTTGCTCCTCTAGAAATTCATCAGCTTAATGGGAAGAGCTTCATTGCCACCTGCCCAGCTCCTCCCTGCCAGGGCCAGCGGGCAGTGACAGCCAGGAGGACACCAACAGGCTCATGTGGAACAGCTCTGGCACCAGGGAGCCTCCCTGGCACCTGGCACTCAGCTGAGGTCACCTTCACCTGCACGGGCATCTGCAGGGAGGGGAACTGTGCGGCTGCCCACGGGCACCTTGGGGCGGGCAGGAGCCACAGCCACAGCCCCCACAGCCAGAGGGACACTGTCACCGTGCACGTGGCAGGGTCCTGCTGCTCCTGGCCCTGCTCTGCCCCACAGAGCCCCCGGAGAAGCAGGAGAGCGCTCGCAGCTGGCAGAAGAGCTGCAGCCGTGGGGCACAGGGCTGGAGACGTGACGAGCATGAGCCCTCCAGGAGCAAGGGCACTAAGCCCCATCTGTGCCCTTGCTGCCAGACAGCAGAAGCCTATTTCAGCTGCACGTAATCTCAGGATGGGCAGAGTTCATTATCTGGCTAATGCAGAGCCCGTGTGTTCTGTACAGGTAGAGACAGCACACAGAACAGCTGCAGCCAGCAGATTTAATAAAATAAACCAGGCCCCATGTGGTGGGATAACCCCATCCAGCAGCCAAGAACCTTGCAGCCGCTTGCTCCCTCCCCCACCAGTGGGACTGGGGAGAGACCTAGAAGCACAAAAGCTGGAGAACTCAAGTTGAGACAGACAACAGGGAAGGCAAAAGCTTTTGCCTAAGAAATTAAATCCCTGCTTCCATGGGCAGGCATGTCTTCAGCTACCTCCAGAACGAGGCCTCATCATCTCTAACTGTGACTTGGGAAAACAAATGTCATCACTCCAAATGTCCCCCATTCCTCCTTCTTCCCCCCACTTTATATACTAAGTATGATATTGTATGGACTGGGGTAGCCCTTGGGCCAGTTGGGGTCACCTGTCCTGGCTGTGTCCCCTCCCAGCCTCCCACACACCCTCAGCTCCCTCCCCAGCATGGGTCTGTGCAAGTCCTGCTCAGCTATAAAAGAAACACCTCTATTTTATCAACCCTGTGTTCAGCACAAAGCCAAAATGCAGCCCTAAATCAATCACTGTGAGAAAGCTAATTGTACCCTGGCCAAAACCAGTGTATCCCAGCTCGTGCTCATCTGGTCTGACAGAGGAGCAGCTCCGTAAGCCTTTCACAGGCAGCAGCAGAGCTTGTCTCAGCCAACACACTCCTGCTCACCTTGATGCCAGCACCACCGATGGCAACTCATGGATAAAACAGAACACACACAGGCTGAAAAACGACAGCTTGCATGTTTTTCAACATTAAGAGCCTTCACATCAATGTTTGGGATCAAAGTCCTACCTTTCACACCTGAACATGAAAATGAGAAGTATTCAATTGTTCAACACCAGGCTGAATGCAGCTTGCAGCAACCTGGGATAGTGGAAGGTGTCCCTGGCCATGGCAGGGGGTGGAACAAAATGATCTTTAAGGTATCTTCCAACCCAAACCTGTCTGTGATTGTACAGTTTGTGTCACCCATTGTGCCAGGCAGCCCCAGGAGCCAAGCAGCTGCATGGCACATGCAGTGTTAAGGTCCTGGCTGCTGTGTGAAGATGCTGTTTGCTCCTCACCTGAAGGGCACACACACCCTTCCCTACACAGAGCTACCACCAAGTTTCCCAAAATCCCCTATTCCTTTTTGGAAAGTAGCCTTTCTGTAAGTGCACCTTGCAGGTGCTCAATACTGTACAAATGCCTGCTCAAGCACCACAGGG